CCTCAGCCACCCTTTTATTCTAGGCAGCAACCAAGGCTTCAGGTGGGCTGTGCAGCAGACCAGTAGGAACAGCTCCTAGCTCCCTCTGGAACCCATCTGGGTCCATCAGTCACTGGGGGCAGAGCAGTCTAATGGGTCCAGCCTCCCTGCAGTGGATAGTGATGTCAGATAATCCCATGGTAATCACGGCGTAATCTGACCATGACAAGGGGGACACCAACAATTCTCCCAATTGCAGATTACATAGCCACTGCTCCGACAGTGTCAGACTGTTCCGTGTCAGGCTCTGGATGACCTGGGATAGGCCCACAGCCATCATGGTGGCCATGAATTCCTGAGCCACCTCAGATCCCACTCCCAGGGAAGGGACATTAAAATCCCCCAAGACCATAAATCTGGGGAACTCCACTGCCAACCTGGAGATGGAATTAAGGAGCTCAGGCAGGGAGGTTGCTATGCAGCAGGGAGGCAGATACAACTTTTATTGTATGCTGCCCAGAGTCACTTTGTGTGAGATGGGCGGCAATATACTGTATATTTGATAAACAAACAAACAAATAAATAATATACAGTGGAGCTGCAACTCCCACCACTTTCCTCAGCTATAAAAATGCTTATGATTGGGTTTCAGCAGAGAATGCATATGTATGAGGAATGTGATGAAGAATGTTTCTTCCCATATTCAATTTATTATACTCCATTTAAAATACATATTATTACATTCATCCATTTATTCCAGATAAACATATATTTCATATAACTGAAATATACAAAATGTATTTAAAACATTTAGAATTCCTTATGGATATGACAATAAGCTTGAAAAAATATAGTACTAAATCTCAGCCCAAACTTAATCAACTATATTTTGGTCTTCTATCAATAAATGATAAGAGGTATATTCTGCTTATTTTTAACTGTCTGAAATATAATTTGGGCTGTTGTTTAAATAATTACATATTTACTTTTATCAGGATTTCTACCTTCTAATATAGCCATTCCTCATTTAGTGGCTACCTCATTTAGCAACCATTCGCAAATATGATGGTCATTTAAAAAAAAATCTGACCAATGTGCACATTTATGACCAAATTTTGTGTGCCTGACTACAAAAGCCTTCAATATAAAACTGATTAAGGTCTGGTCAGTTTCAGGCAGCAGAGCTGAGCTTGTTAACTTGCCTTAGGCACTAGGGAGAAAAGTAGCTCAGGAAGAGATAGCTTGTTTAAGCAATCTCTCTGCCCTGTGTGGAGGCAAAAAATGGGGGTGGGGTGGGGTCAGGCACAGAACACTATATGAGAGACCTTTATCTAAATGAGACAACAGCAACCAGTGATCTTTGTGGTGTCTCTCTCTCTCTCAGTCACGTGTTCACTTAGCAACTGTATTGCTTCTGATTTAAGGAACAGATTGTGGTTGTTAAACGAGGAGAGGGTGTCTTTTACTAATGCTATTGCTGTTACAGTTTTAAGTAATACTATTTAGACTAGTGTCTAAATCTATCCAAGTACATTAAGCTCCTATTTTAACATCTCACCAATAGCAGTTCTGGATAGGAGATTTAAAAAAGTATCCCGTGGCAACCAAGAGTGTCCTTACAATTCTGAGCAAGCGTAAACAATAACCCAGGGCAGTATTCTCCAACTCGGGCATTGCCTGGATATGTGGATTTCTACTCCTAGAAATTATAAGCAATAGCCATGCTGCTTGGGTAATTCTGGGAGTTGCTCAATACTTCTGAAGGGTGCTCAGGCTGTAAAAGGCTATGTCTTGCTCTTTTGTCTCTGCAACTGGGATTTACATATAGAGCTTATTACTCACTCACTTTGAATTAAAAGAGAACATCCAATTTTTTTATATACCATTTCCTCTTAGACAAAATTAAGCTTATTACAGGACATTGTGTAAAAGTACTTCAATTTTTAGGAATAAAAGTTTATATCGAGCAGATTAGGCAATATTACCTTCAGGAAAAATCCCTTGAACAGTGTTTTTTGTACTCTTTACTGATTTAAAATTCCAGAAGTCCAAAATATTTCATACTGTGAACTCATCCCTAGTTATACACAATTATAATTCATAATGTAAGTACAAGTAAAGAATTGGAATATAAAGACAAAAAAACTAAAGACTCTAAAGATAGCCACTCTACCATATCAAAGAGAAACAGGATTATGGGATTTGCTTTTCTTCAGTTTGAATGAAGATAAGTGAAATAGTTATACGGTGTACTGCTTGAGCTATGGGAAGAAATGTGGAAGCCTCTGCAACTGTCTGCCAATGTATAGTTTCCATTTCACTGCACAAATTCTTTCAGTAGTCATCACCCAGCCATAAAGTTGACACCATCCAAAACCAAGTTATGTAGTATATATGCAAACATATGTCTAAATTTGTAACTTACATATATATGCTATACAAATAAAGAGATACATTAAATGCTAGAACACTTTTACCTCATATAAAGGAACTTTAATGTTGTTTTGAATGAAATTTACTGTTTCAACATATTTCACCTTGATGCTCTAGCAAATTGAAATAAAAATTGTTCACCAAATATTGACAGCAATTTGATAGGACTTCTAAGTGCAAAACAAAATTGGTTCAAGGCTGACTTTGGCCTGCTAACCAATAATATCTAAGATTGCCTAAATAGATCTACTAAAGAATTCTTAGCCATTCTGGCAGAGGTGAAAAATTCTTGGCCTGGATTGTAGTTATGAAGTAAATATTATCTAGTCTACTGAGCTTACAATTTCTTGGCTTTCTAACTTCACTCAAATTCACAGCTCTAATAATATAGCTTATGAACCCTCAAAGAAAAATATGACTAAAAAAGGAAGCACTAGAAGTACAACGAATGACATATACATATGCATCAGCTTCACTAGGTAGACCAGACCAGAAAATCAACTCCTCATGAAGACTAGAACTATACCTGACTGGGATAGCCTATAATAATAGAAACTTGGAAGTCTTATTGTGCTATCCCTCCCCCTCCCCCATTTAACAGAGAATAAATAGCCATAACCTCCCCCAGAACAAAATAGGATATCCCAGCCCCACCCATATGCGTAATGTTGTCTTGTCCATTTTGTGTCATCCTGCTCCCCCCCCCCAATTATAGCCTGGATATGGGGAATAAACTTTAAGTTTTGTCTTCTAAAATATTATAAAAGTTATTTACATTTAGTTAGAAACTTCATTCTGCAGTCCAATCTTATAAATACTCACAACTGTTAAAACATTAAAAAAATCTCCTATTTTATATTATTTGAAATATTTATAATGAGTCTGATGATAGACAAATGTTTACATAGAAAATACAGGTTTTCTTGACACCATTTAAGTACTGAAAAATCAGTATCTATTCAGGATTCAAGTTTTAGATCAGAGACACATTTTACTTTTTTAATGTTCATTTTTCAGCTTTGGCATTCTTAAATTTACCTATTTCACTGTATCAACATATACAGATAGGCTGAAGTCCCTTGAACAATTATCATCTGTAAGGACATAGATATATCTATTTTAAAAAATACAATGTCTAAATTTCTGGACAGAAGATAGAATTCATCAAGGATCTAGAAACAGTCTGTGCATAATTGGGGGGGAGGCTGACATGCTAAGTATTATTATTGTTTGATAGTTAAATATCTACTATTTCCATTATTTATTCATTTTGTTAGCATATCCAAGTATAAACAAGATATTGAAAACCAGATTATAAAAAATTATTCTACAAATTCTTTAGTTCTACAATTATTTGTACTGCAAGAGTTGCATTCAGATGTCACATTCTCTAATAGTTCAAATTATAGTTTGTGGTTGAGTTGGCTCCAAGTCTAAGATGAATCTAGAAAAATACAGGATTATGTTCCATTTCTGTCAGGGGGCCACCTGAACTGGGGTTTAAAAGGTAAAGTAGCTTTGTCTGAAATCTATCCACAAGATAGCTCTTGCACTATACTCCAGAATTACATTATATTTGGAACTGTTAAATAGTAAAGAACTTCTCAGACCAACCAGTAGATAAAACTGTAAACTGTATATGGGCATGTTGGCTGTCAGGGATTAATATTAATGATGCTAATCCAGATATTAGCACTATTGTCCCCAGTCTAAGCATCTGGGTTTCCTGCAACTGCAAAAGACTCAAACACACTAATGAGTGAATCATGTATGTATAATCTACTCACTGTGCCCAGCTTAATATAATATATGTTTGTAAAACCAATTTACTGAGATATGTGACCTGGCAAACTGTGATTTGAATAATCCTTCTAAACAGGGGTTGAAAATTAAAATAAAATCCTGATATGCAATCTAGATTTGGAGAGATCATCCAAATCGCAATTTCTCAGTTTGGACTTCACAACAAAGCAGAAAATGTTCAGCTAAATTAAGTTTATGAAGAGAATTTGATACTAATATGTTATGGCTATGGTTTAAGGAGGTCTGAATGCATTCAATGCTTTCATTTTAATAAATGAATGTCATTTTATGTTAAAATATGTGCTTTGCTTTCCCATTATTTCAAAATGGGAGTGAAAGGAATGATTACTAATTAATTAATTAGAGTCTAAAACCTCCAAAATGCAAATACCTTCATTTACTAAGCTGAAGTAGGATTCTGAAAGTTTTACAGATTTTAATCCTAAATATGAGAGCCAGTGTGGAATAGTGGTTAAAGTGCTGGAATATTATTGGGAAGACTTAGGTTCTAGTCCATCCTCAGCTATGAAAGCTCATTGGGGGCCTTTGAACCATTCATTCTCTTTTAGTTCAATCTATCTCACAGAGTTATTGTGGGGGAAAATGGGTGGGAGGAGTGCCTTGAGCTCCTAAATGAAAGGTGGGATAGAAATATAATAAATAAATGTTCATTAAAATAATGCTCATCTTTTCTGTTGATTACATCACATTATGTTTACTACTTATGGAAGGAAATTTTGTAATCATCAAAAGGACTCTAGTTCCTCATGAAGAATACTGCTTACCTGTGACCCTTTCTTGCTACCTGGAAGGTTAATTATGAGCGTTTTCCCTCTGATTCCACACACGGGTCTGGGGAGAGAGAGAGAGAGAGAGAGAGAGAGAGAGAGAGAGAGAGAGAGAGAGATAGACACAAGAAGAACATTAGTTATTACACATTATTAACT